CCATGCACTGTCCCATTCAAGACAACCTTTGAGAGTGGGCATTTTCCTTGGTGCAAGTGGGCATCAAGCTTAATTTTCATAACACTGTTCCTAGAAATTTTGTAGTGTATTCAAGAAATGGGGTCTGGGCTGGATGTACTGGTGCATGCCTATCATTTCTGGAAGGCTGAGGCAGGAGGATCGTAAGTTTGAGCCCAGCCTGGGCAATCTAGTAACCTAGCAAGACCCTGTCTCAAAAAGTTAAGGATGGAGTGGGTCAGGAGTGTAGGTCAGTCCCCAGTACTGTGCTAAAAGAAAAAGAAATGGGGAATAAATGTATGTGTGCAGTCTTTGTTTTCACTGAACCTGGCTAATACTGAGTTACCTGAGGTCAGGAATTGTTGAGAGCTCAGCTGGTCTGGAAAGGGTTGGTTGGAGCTGAGGTGTTCCCATGACTGAGTTTCTTTGGAGATTGGCATTGATGCCACAGAGCCTGTGTGCAAATGCTGCCATGCACCTAGGGCTCTTCTGTGTCACTTGATTCCCTGATGTCTGCAGTGCTCGTCATTTTTTCGAGCCTGTGTAAATTAGATGTCGGCTGCCTTGAAACCCTGCCAGACAGCCTGTGCTTCTTTTACCTGTGCTGGGGTCTGCTTGCCTGTGAGTTCGATCAGCAAGCAAGGTACTTTGGTATGAGATGGAAGGAAAGCACTTTTTTTGAAAATGGAAAATTTATTTAAAGAAAACTGTAAAGCACTTGACAAAAATATTATTTAAAAACCAATATAGTCCGTGCACATTTGAAATAGGAAGTAGGAATTCCTTAGGCCTATTTTGGCCCCCTCTCTGCTGGAAAACTGTGTGACCCTCTAACCACAGTAGCTTTCGGGGCGGGGGGCCTGGCTTCATTCTGTTATTCAGCAGGCGCAGGGACACCTCAGGGAAGTTCTCATTTCTTGTCGGGCAGAGGTTGGAGGAGGACCAGAGGATAGAAGCCCATTGCATGCTGGTCCTCCACCACAGGGAAGCCAGTTCCACACAGCACTCCAGTTCAGGGCTGGCTGCCTCTTGGGTGTGAGCTGTGCTCTCCAAGGCCTTGAGACCAACCCGGCAAGCTAGATGGACTGAGTGATCTTCACAGTGGCGCTCAGCCTTTTAGAGTTTCTGATTGCACCTGAGACTGTTTTTCTGTTTCATGGGATTAAACTCACAGAGGTCCTTTCCTATCCCAATGGTCCCGATCAGCAGGATCCCCTATCACCATCTTGGCCTTTTGTCCCTGTTCTGGACCTGTTTGGATTCTCCTGGAACTCTGAGTCTCTGTTGCTCGCTGCCCTTGTGAATTTGTGCCTTAAATTGCGCAGGGAATTACAGGATAAGTGTGGGAAAGACATTACTTACTTGTGACCCTAATTTGGCCATTTCACAATCATCTTTCTCTTTGATTTATTTTATCTGTAGGAGATTTTCGTTGTCTTCCTTAGTTTTTGGATCATACTTTTCTACTTTAGACATTTTATTTTTACTTTGTTTATTTTTTTGATTGATTGATTGATTGATTGGAACCAGGGATCAAACTCAGGAACCTCATGCTTGCCAGGCAGGCACTATTCCAATGAGCTACATCCCCAGCCTTACCTTATGTAGTTTTCTATGGAGCTAGTCCTTACTGGATTAAAAAGTTAAGTCCATGAAACTGCTCTTTCAGAAACTGGTCCCATTTCACCTTTTTTTAGTCAGTATGCAATTTTTCAGGAAAACAGCCCTGTATAAAAGAATGCAGGTTTTTGTTTTTTTTGTTTTTTGTTTTTTTAAAAAGAGTGCCAGAGTGTTTGGAAAAGTGTGAGTCCAGGTCCAGGTGTTTCTGCCTAACAGAGGAAAACATCTGTCATAATATTTGGCAGATCACAGAGCTGAGGCTGTGTGAGGTTGGGTGGCTTCCAAGCAGAACGGACTATAAATTGATGGGAATGGAATCTGGGCCTCCTGGTTCAGCTGTAGAGATAAAGCTGCCCTGCAGCCTTGTCTTCTACTGCTGCCCTGCCCCTAAGATTGCCCTTTGACTCCCCTCCAGTGGGCAAAAGCACAGATAAGAAACATGGCTGGTTTCTTAGGAGCTCTGGGGTAAACAGTAGGCCTCCTTGGATTTGAGCACCCGGGCTTAGCACCTCATGGCAGTTAAGTGGGTGAGTCACGAGGAGCCACATGCTGCAGAGACACCACACAGGGTTTGTTCCCAGGGTGCTCTGCTCTGAGGTGATCCAGCTCTCTCTGAAGGGACCTAACTCAAAGGAAAGGGAAAGGCAAAGCATGGGCGAATAACATAATACTTAAGTACTGGCCAGTGGCCGGCCGTCTGCTGGTTAAAGGCTGGGGATCCTGGCTCTGACATCTCAGAGCATCTCTGATACTCAAAGCGGGGGGATGCGCTAATATTTTTTTGGTTTGCTGGTCTTCCAGAAATTATCAGTATTACTTTGTTAAATAAGTTTCCTTTGTCCCTTGGTTGGGAGTTCTATGTCCATCCCTCACTTTTCCCAGTGCTGCCACATCCCAGTCCTATGACCTTGGGCAAGATCCCCACCCCTACCCCACCAGCTTCGTGGCATCATCACACCCACCCACTGAGCTGCCGGAGCAGAATTAGACCAGCAGTTGGCTAAAACACCTTGGGCTGGGCTGGGCACATAGCAGACATTCCACAGGTGCTAAGGACAGTGGTCACCTCATTCTGAAGCCCTTGATGAAGGACAAGTATGTGTCATGGCTGTGGCTCTCCATCCTGCCTGCCAGCTGCGTTGTTTTTATCTGCAGTGGGAGGAGGGGTGGGATCCTCAGTGAGGTAGAATCCCCCCACCCCAGGATGCCTGTAGAGCCCAAGGATGGAAGAGAGGCAGGCGTGAGCTGCCACCTGGGAGAAGTTACCTGGGAGATGTTTTGTCTCAGGCTGAGGCTTCACTGTGTGTCATGCTCGTGAAAGGAGGCCTGCCCACCCCACCCCCCATAGGAACACATTGCTGCCCTCTGTAGTGCAGTGGGTTTTTCTCCAGGGTTTGTAATGTTTTCCTGATTGTTTTGTTTTATGTTTATTTGCTTTGTTTCTGGTGTTGGGGATTGTACCCAGGAAGCATTGAGCCATATCTCCATCCCTTTTCATTTTTATTTTGAGACACTTGCCTCAAATTTGAGATCTTCCTGCCTCAACCTGCTAATGGGCTAATGTGCCCCGCTTCCCTGGCTTTTTTAGTGTATCCTCTCCATAAACCCATCTTGGTCCTGTGGAAGTACTGATTTGCATGCGGCCAGCTCATCTTGCTCACCCATTCCTCTCCCATAATTGTGAACATAATGGGGGTTTACAGAAATTGGCAGCAAAGGTCCTAATTCATACATGAAAAGTCAGCATTTTTTAGCATGGTTTCTTTTGTTTACCTTTTTAATGCATCCTGGGATGTGGGGGGACTGGGAGAGGATTTTGGTCTCCTTGCCATCTACCAGGGAATTTTTCCAGATAAGTTGGGGCTCTGTTAGCACTGGGGTCAGAAATAAGGGCCGTGATGTTGGAGTGGTGGCTGTGTGTTTTGAAGTTGCCTGGGCTGTGTTTCAGGCAGGGCTCAACCAGCCCCTCACGCTAGCAGCTCACTAATCCATGTGACCAGGGAAGTTCTGGCTTTTGGAGTCCAGCACACCTCAGGGAGCAAGGACATCTTAAGACAGAGCTCGGTCCCATCTTAATGTGTGCTATGGAGGAAACAGTTTAGGTGAGGTGAAATAGCCTAGCATTGCCATGCACCTAAAGGTCCTAGAAATGGAATTGTACTCCCGTCTCACAGTAAATCGTCAGTGTTTCTCAAGTCATAACTAATTTTTTTTCTTTTTTAAGTGACTAATACTTTTATTTGAAGATTCAAGTTGAATCTAAATTGAGAAAGATGTGGGTGAAGAAGGCACGATATTCTTCGATTTAATGGCTACAATTATGCAGATGATCTCATTTTAAAATATTTCAGTGTAGCCTGCCTCTGTGGCTCCTGATCAGCCCCTTTTGTTTTCTTGCCTCCCTGGCCGTCCAGATAGTTGGGACATCCCTTTTGCACACCTTTCAGGAAGCTGACGGGGTTCAGCAGCTTCCTGGTTTTGCACCATAGTGTCAGGGCTTTTCCTTTTCCCTTGATCTCTGTTGTCTTAAAATGTTTTCTCCGCCTGGCAGTATGAAAGCATCAGTACTTTGTCATAATCATGAGGTAAGGAATCTGTCTGCCATATAACACATTGGATCTGGAACCAGAGTTCCAGTGTTGGCAGTGTTGTAGGCTGCAATCCTGGCCCACTTTTCGGGGTACCTTGTACCCTAGAACCACACAGGAGTCTTTCCTGCCTGACACATTGGGTTTGCTCTTAGCTGTGTGCGATGGATAGATTAACAATCCATCAGGGAGGATTAAGACTAGACTGACATCGAAGCAATCTTGTTTTGCTCTCTGCTACTTTCAAGCAATCCGGTTGGGGTGGGCAGGAGAGAAAAGGAGACAGTGATTGTCCTAAAAGCACCCTGGTGAGGCAAGAGGAGGCAGATCAGCTGGAGGTACAGTGTGGGATAATTCCCAGCTTCAGGTTGGGAGGCCCGGATGGAGCAGGCAGCCGGCTTCATCAGTCTAACAAGATGTCACATGGAACAAAAGCTTTAGGGGTTTTATTTAGCTCTTAATCCGCATGCTGAGGGAGCTGAGGTCCATGTGAGCACTGCAGCCAAGCAGGAGGACTAGCAGGACAGCCTCCTTTCTGAGACGGAGCTGCACAGGACAGACTTCCGAGCTACTGTTGGGAGACTGAGAGGCAAAGTTACCGTGAGTCTATTTAGCCTACTAAGGTTTCGGAGGATTAATAATTTAGGCTGCACTTTGAAACAGAAACCCCACTCAGTTGTGCCTGCTGTCTCGGAAGGGTTCGCATACAGCTCAGTCTGGTTTTGATGTGTGTAACTGAAGATTTATGAAGAGAGCCTTCCTCCGCTGCTCGCCTGCAGTCATTTGTTCTGCCGATGCCGGTTCCCAGCAGGCGTATCAACACTGGCCGTTCGCAGAGCTGGGATGCTGCTGGCTGGTACGACGACCCTTGGGAGAATGCTGAGGCTCCGCCATCCCTGGGGAGGAGAAGCTCTCTGACGTATGGCTCGGGTGAGGGGACCTGGTGCGAGCTGCCTAACCACCGAACCCAGGCCACCGCCCTGCCCGGGGCCCCTGAGCCCTACCTGTACCAGGAGGCTTTTTATAATTCGCTGGCTGCCAGGAAGGGCTCTGCTCCTGAATTCACTTTCTACAACAGCAGACAGGCTGTGATGTCTGGCCATAGTGCCCTCCTGCCACAGAATTACTACAGTGACCCGTCCAGAGGCACAAGGGTACCCAAGGAGCCTCCCTACTATCAGGACCCAGGAGTCAGCGAGCCAGTGCCCAGCTACAGAATGCTTGGTAGCAGAGCGCCATGGGAGCACATGCAAGGCCAGATACCAGCGCTGCAGGACACCAGCCACCTGTACCAGGATCCTGGGGGTAAAATGATCCCTTCGGGACAGCAGGTGAAGGGCAGGGCACCATCTCCCGGGTGTTACAGGAGGGAACTGCCTGATGCCAGGTTCGGCGCAGAAACACCTGCCTACCCATCCAGTCAGGTGTACAATGACGTTGGCGAGAGACCTGTGGATTCTAACCCTGCCAGACAGGTGGCCCCAACATGCCTGGTTGTGGATCCTGGCGTAGCTGCTCCCCCCGAGAGCAGCACTGGAGTGGCCCCAGGGTCCCTGAATCGAAGCTACGGGCCTCTACGGGAAAATGTCCACCCTAAGATGGCTTTCGAGAATTTTGAGGCTAACCTGCCTGCATTCCAGGGACCTGGTGGCAAGAGGAATGTGCCCCCCGAGTTCCTGGCGCTGCTGCGGGCAGAGGGTGTTGCAGAGGCCACTCTGGCGGCCCTTGTACAGCAAGGCTTTGACTCCCCAGCTGCCCTGGCCACTCTGGAGGATGCAGACATCAAGTCTGTTGCAACCAACCTTGGCCAAGCCCGTGTCCTGAGCCGCCTGGCCAGCAGCTGCAGGACAGAGATGCAGCTTCGGAGGCAGAATCGGGCAGGCCCCCTGCCCCGCACACGGTCCAGCAGTTTCAGCCATCGGAGTGAGCTGCTGCGCGGTGACTTGGCTTCTCTGGGTGCCACAGCCCTGCAGTCTCAGCCTGCGAGGCCCCTGCAGACGGCCTCCCCTCAGTCAGGAGATGTGGCCCGGCGCCCTTCCAGTGCACCCTCCCAGCACCTCCTGGAGAGAGCCATCTATTCTGCCCCGGGGGTGGGCCCTCAAGCCCCCCACCTCCCTTCCAACTCTGGGTATAGCTCTCCCACCACTTGTTCTCTCACAGCACGCCTGGGCCCCTCTTATACTCAGCAAGCTGGGGTGGCCTTGACGAACCCAGGCACCTCAGCCCCCCTTCACCAAGGCCCCAGAACAGCCTACTCCACCTCGTATACAGTGCCCATGGAGCTGCTGAAGCGGGAGCGCAGTGTGGTTGCTTCTCCACTGCCCAGCTCCCATGACAGCCCCCAGCTGCTGCAGAAGCCTGGAGTCCCTGTGGAGCCATCAGCTCTGCCACCGGTCAGCCAAAGCCTCCACACACCACACTCACCATACCAGAAGGTGGCCCGGCGGACAGGGGCACCCATCATCGTGTCCACCATGCTTGCACCGGAGCCAAGTAACATACCCTACCTGCCTTCCCCAGCTGGGTACCTTGGGGAGGGTGTGCCTGGGGCGGGTTGGGGAAGTTTGAGCATGGGATATTAAGTCCCTGCTGGCCAGCAGGCATGCACAAACCCTGCCACACGAGAAGGCCACAGTGCTGTGCTGGCTCCCGGGCTAGCCATTGGACACAAGTTGTCTTGGGTTCAACAGATTATCATGCTGGCCCACATTGGCTTATGGGTTCCCCTTTATGGTGCTGAGATGCAGCTATTTTCTGAGGGGGTTAAAGTCCTCCAGAACAGACCTTCAGCGCACCAGGGGTGGGGATTCCTTAGGTCAGTTTGGGTAGCTTTGGAGAAGGCGGGAGTGTTTGATCAGACACCTTGCCTGAATTGTGCCATGGCTCATTTGCTGTTTGAGGTACCTCACTGCCGAAGCCTACCTCTGCAGGGCCTGTGTGCAGTAGCAAAGGCAGGAATTAACCACCGTGGAGCTAAAAATGTGTGTGCTGCCACACTTGTGGGTTAAACAAAGCAAGATGTTGGAATCCCGCAGAACTCCCTGTTTCAAAAACAAATTTAGTCTCAGTTTGGAAAATGCAGTTGGGAATTCTGCTTGCTTGTGGTAAAGGATATATTTCCAAGGTAAGGAAGGAGGAAGATAGGCACTAGATGGATTTCTACAAAGTATGAGCCAAAAGTTGACTGATGGCATGTGTTTCCTTGGCCGTTACGGTTAAACTTCTGGGTCAGCATCCTCTGAACAATTAGAATTTTTATTTTAACTATATAGAGTCTTGACTAAAAACACAATATATATCAGTCTTCCTTTACCTCTTCATCATAGTTTATAAAAGTAAATCCTTTCTGTGTGCTTATTTTTCCTAAATAACCAGTGTTATGAGGGCTATAATGATGACAGAATAAGATCTATCATTTTGACAGTGCCCCTGAAATAACTGGTAGGTGTTGGGAGGTTTGCATATCCCTGAGATAAAAACCTTACATTTTCTATGAGATGGTGGAACTGCTGGAAATTGTCGTGGCTTCTGTTGCTTCATAGAATCGGCCTTCAGGCACTTTTATTTCTCTGCTGCCTGGTTTTTTCTGTTTTCTATTGCTCAAGATTCTTGTTTTGTCTCATTGATATTTTTTTTAAAGTCTGATCCTATACTTTATTTGACTTTTTAAAATCAATGTGCAGGAGGAGGGCAGTCAGGTAATTTTTCGCGGTGGGGGGGGCTGTGCCTTCTCTCACAGCCAAGCATTCTTTCTTTGTAACCAACTAATTTGCATGGCGATGACATTTGTTGCTCCAGTAATTTCATCTGATAATGGCTGGGCTTGCAAAGCGGATCTGAAAACATATTCCTTAATTATGTGTTGCTAAGCAACAGGAGGGTTTGGTCATAATCACAGAAAGATTATCTCCTCATTGAAGTCGGGGAAAGGTTTTGCAGAAGGAGGACCTGCAAAATTGCCTCTTTTTTTTTTTTTTTTTTTTTTTTTTTTTTTTTTTTTTTTTTT